GTGGTCGCCGCAGTCGGTGGAGCTCATCAACCGAGTGGAACGTGTTCAACGCCGAGCTTCAAAGTTTATTCTAGGCCTCCCATTCATGTGTGACGTATCCTATAAAGACAGACTCATTTTATCTCCCCTCTATAAAGACAGACTCATTTCGACAGAACTTCTTCCCCTCTCATTTTGGCATGAATATTTAGACTTAATGTTTTTCTTCAAAGCTATTACTGGCATTGTATCGATATCTCAAAATTCCTTACCTGAACGTATTGCTCCTGTAAGGGTCACAAGATCATCTGCTAATGTCAACGCAATCTCATTCCGTCAACGAAAACATAAAACAACAACTTATAATCGATCATTCTTTCTTCGTACAACTAGAACTTGGAACTCTCTCCCGGAGCATTTAAGGCTTATTAATCTATCTTTTATTCAATTTAAGAAAGGAATATTAGCATACTACTTGACTGCATTACGATCCTGCTACAACGTTGACGATCCACGAACTTGGAAGACTGTCTGTGTCAAATGTAACAAAAGCAGAAGTCTCATCCGACCATTAACTTGCTGTTACTAGAGGGGCGTTTGCACATTGCGATTTGTCCTGTGCGATTCGGATTTTGGTGTATAATTCATTTGATGCCTCAATTCCAAAAATCTGAATTGAAGCGAAACTTTAATTGCACAATTGACGCGTGCCTACTCGATTGGATTCGCCAAAATACGAGTCGTACACGGCGGATCGCGGTGTGTAAACGTACCTTAAGTAAACTAAGTATAATTACTTAGGTGATTATTGAAAATTTTCCAAGCTGATTCGTTGCCATTGAAGTGATTATAACGTGATAATCACCTAAGTTTTGACTATTAAATGACGAAGAAATGTGTATTTTTATTTTTTTCCCAAATAATCACCTATGAAATTATACTAAAACAATTATTCGCCTTAGGCTCGGTGGTTATTGTTAAATGAAAACTTCGACTTTGTCTCTGTCCCTACTTACCGATAATCACCTAGCCTTCGGCAATAAATTGTTAATTATTTCTGTTTTCTATATTTATATTGATATTTTGTAAAGGGCCCACTGTAATTGGTGTTAAGCTGTTGTGGTGTCCCAGCTTCTTTAATGCATTCATTGTATAATGTTTGGAAGCGAAGCACAATAAATAAATAAATAAATAAATAAAATAAAAATTTATTTGATTTGAAACACTCAAAGGAATTACAACATATTATATGATAGTCATATGTACATGATTATGGGTATATTCATTAGTTTTATTAGCTGATATTTATGACCATCCTGGGACAACATTTTATTTTTCCCAAGAG